CTGTCGGTAAATTGCACAAGCCAAATGGCATTTTTTAAAAATCGTACCTAGTCCATCAGACGTATAAATCCGTATATTTGCGGCTATCTTCGTATACTTGACATGAAAAAATCCATTTTCAAGATCTAAGGTAGTAAATATTTTCGCATTCTGCAGCCGATCCAGCGATCACGATCAGCGCGGCAGGCGAAGCAGTCTTTTACATCTTTTGATTTAGTCGCCGGTAATCTACGCATAATCGATACGCCGTGCCTTTTTTTTTTTACAAGATCACGGGGCTCGCATATCAGAGACACGGTAGTGTCTCGCGCGCCAAGTCAAAAAAACGACGCTTTGCGCAGCGAGGCACACCGTGTATTATAACGCGAGTCTGACATCTGAGAACATCATATATTTCAATTATGCAATAACGGCTGAAGCGATCGAGTTCTTATTATTCTCAATTGATAGATTAGGTTTTGAATTACAAAGAAAGTGCCTTTATTTTTTCTCTATGTGCTTTATTAACGGAGATTATAATCTAAACTTTGTTTTCTTAAAAATTGTTATAAATTTTGGTCGTCGTCGTCGACCTTCTCAATGCGCATGTATTTGAAAATGTCCATTTCGAGCATTCATTGCAAGATAGCGTTGATGTCGCTCCATGAATGATGTTTTGACACATTGTGATTGACACATAGGTTCAGTTTAACCTACATACATAAATTGAATCTTTTGATTTAGTTATTACCAAATTAATTATAAAACTAATTCTTATTCTTTTCAGGGAAATATTGTATTCATAAATACACATATGATTTTTTGTGCTGGTATCTTGATATCTTACACAAAACTATGCAAATTTAAATATAAACTCTTATCTCAAGTTGAATATATGAGTGAAAAATCTAATAATACGTGGATACTAAATCCAAAATTAGGTACAATTTATAATCTGTTTTATGGTGGTATGTGGCAAAAACCTATCGATGATATATATTGGGAACACAATGGTATTTTACTGGCAAATGCAACAAGGTACAGATATACACACATTTCTCTGACATTATTTTATAACTTTTAAATTAAAAAAATTTAATAACATTACATTAAACATTTATAACTTAATCGATTAATATATATACATATATAATATTGTAGAGGAGATTTTGAGAAATGTGTTGAGTTAGCTACAGAAGGATTTAGAATCTGGACAGAAAAGTCTATTGATTCTAAAATATGTATATTATCCAAGCTTACGTCAATATTACAAACTAAGTACGTGTACACAAGTAATTACACAAATTATTGAAGTTTTTATATTTCTTAATTTTTATTTAATACTATTCATATATTTGATAATTTTATAAATATTTCCTTCTTTTCTTTCTCTTATAGTGAACCTTTATTAGCGAATGAAATATCTCATTGGATAAAATTGGCATATTACTATAAGAATCACGTGAATTGTCATCAAATGACAATTTTGAAGTAACAAAAATTCGTATACCAAAAGGTGTCATTTTTCTTGAAAAGAAAGATGCAGTTACTCTATTTCGCGAGTTAACACAATGTTTAATTACTGGCAATGCTGTCATTGTGATATGTAATCCAGATGTGTGCACTCTAGTAAAATATTGTGACATATTTTCAACAGCAACAATACCATCGGGTGTTATAAATCTCATTTCAAGTAAAATTATAGCCTACATGAACTATGAGAAAATTCTCGAAAAATCAAAGCCAAATTCAATATATGAACAACTTACTACAACCAAGCATATTGTACTTTGCCTTAAGTAAAATTGATAACGTAGCATATATATGAATTACAATAATTCAAGAGTTACCGAGTTAAAAATATATATATATTGTATAAACAAATTGTATAAACATGTTTACATATCAGTGATTATAATTTTCGATTTCTTTTGTTAGCAAATTAATTTTTTTTCAATAAAATTTTTTGTATAGAAAATCAAATAAATTTTCTCGCAAATCCTTGTATATTTTCTTATAACGCAATTAATTATAAAAGATTAAATAATTATTATTTGTTAATATGTCAAGATTATACATCTCTCTCTCTCCTCCCTCTCTCTTTCTCCCCCCTCTCCCTCTCTCCCTCACCCTACCCTCTCCCCCTTCCTCTCCTCTCTCTCCCGCTTTCTCGCTCCCTCGCTCCTCGCTCTCTCTCTCTCTCCTCTCTCTCTCTCTCTCTCTCTCTCTCTCTCTCTCTCTCTCTCTCTCTCTTTTTCTCCCTCCTCCCTCTCACTTTCCTTTCTCTCCCTCTCCCCTCTTCTCCCTCCCTTTTTCTCTCTTCTCTCTCCTTCTCTCTTTCTCCCTCTTCCTCTCGCTCTCTCTCTCTCTCCCCTCCCTTTCTATCATACATACATTTATATCATGCAGTAACACAAGTTATAGATAGATAGATATAGATAGATAGATAAAGAGAGAGAGAGAGAGAGGGAAAAAGAGGGGGAGAAAGAGGGGGGAGAGAGAGAGAGCTAATGTGTATATTGATATATACTGTATATATATTGATATATAATTACATTTATTACATTAATAAAAATACATTAATAATAATTACAATATAGTTTCTTTTATAATATAATTATTTATTATAATAACATTACATTTATTTATATAGCTGCTATATAACATGTGTAATTAACGTAAATGTTAAATATTAAGTACATATTAGTTGTAATTTCCCATCGTAAAAGTAATATTTTGTAATATAACATATGTTACATTATAGTTATATTACAATAATTATATTCCAGATAACATAATAACTTATCGAAAGATTATTTTCAGCATCCTACTATATCTATCGATGAGTTACAATGATATCTAAGATGTAATTACAATACAACTACAATGTAACATATGTTATAATACAAAAGTTATATATATAAATGAGAAATTACTATTAATGTGTACTTTACATGTAACATTCACGTTAACTACACGTTATATAGCAGCTATATATATTTTACATGTTAATATATATAGTATTTCCTCGTCCGTGTCCGCGGCCGCGTGCGCGGCCACGTCCGCGTCCTCGACCACGTCCCCGTCGGTTTCCCCGTGACCATCGGGCAGTTTTATATTACTGTAACAAAATTTATATAAAAATATCTATGTATATATTTCAATCTTTCTATATAATATAATTGTTTAATTAATTTTATACTTACGTAAAGCATTCTTTTTGGGGGGTTAAGGATATTAGCCACTACTGCAGGCTGTTGAGGTTGCGGAGCAGTTGGTGGAATTTCTGCATGAGCAGCTAGTGGAGCCTCTGCCTGAGTAGCTTGTGGAACATTTGCCTGTGCAGCTGGTGGAATCTCTGCCTGCGCAGCTTGTTTTGCAGCGGCCAATTGCTGCTGCAAATCTTGAATTTCAATTTTTAATATTTCATTTTCCATAATGATATTGTAGTCATCGTCACACTAAAAAAGTAGAAATAAAAATTAAATTAATAATTTTATGAATTTCTCTATAAATCTGTTTATGAACTAACTGCACTAGTTCAAAGGTTGTCTTTTTTACTCAACATTGGAAGGAAAAATGTAACCTCTGAACTATTGCAACCAGTTCAGTCAAAACACATAGATCTGATATGTTTATATGTACACACAACAACAGAAATGTTTGAATAAATTTATGCACACATTGAAGCATATAGAAAATACAAATATATTTCGATATCTGTGTAAAATTGTGTTAAACCATTTATGTTGCCATGTGATGAGAACATATAATATAGAGAAACGTATTATAATTAATAAAATAGAAATCTACTTACTTCTTGAATCACTTTGTTCTTTTTTTTAGCATTCGGCATTTTCTTTTCTTTATCTTGACTCATTTTAAATAAATATAATATCACTGCGTGCGAGCTTGCAAGACGAGTATACAATAGATGCCGGTCTGCGGTTAATGAGACAAGAAAACGTCGGCACTTTTGTCAATTTCGATATAGTATACTGCCCGTCTTGCAAGCTCGCAGTGATATTATATTTATTTAAAATGAGTAAAGATAAAGAAAAGAAAACGCCGAATACTAAAGAAAAGAGCACAAAAATTCAAGAAGTAAGTAGATTTCCAATTTATTAATTTATAATATGTTCTCATTATACGACAACATGAATGGCTTAACAAAATTTTACGCACATATCGGAATATATTTACATTTTCTATATGCTCCAATGTGTGTATAAATTTATTAAAACATTCCTGTTGTAGGTATACAAACATTGGACCTTTGTTTTGACTGTACTGGTTGCACTAGTTCAGAGGTTATATTTTTTATTCCAATGTTGAGTAAAAAAGACAACCTCTTAACTAGTGCAGCCAGTTCATGAACAGATTTATAGAGATTCACAAAATTATTAATTTCATTTTTATTTTTTTAGTGTGACGATGACTACAATCTCATCGTGACTGAAAACCAAAAATTAAAAATTAAAATGCAGGAATTGCAGCGTCAGTTGGCTGCTGCAAAACAAGCTGCACAGGCAGAGATTCCACCAGTGGCACAAGCAAAGGTTCCACAAGCTACTCAGGCAGAAGCTCCACCAGCTGCTGATGCAGAAATTCCATTAGCTGCTCCGCAACCTCAACAGCCTGCAGTAGTGGCTAATATCCTTAACCCCCCCAAAAGAATGCTTTACGTAAGTATAAAAAATTAATTAAACAAATATATTATATAGAAAGATTGAAATATATACATAAATATTTATATATAAATTTTGTTACAGTAATATATAAAACTGTTCGATGGTCACGGGCAGGAAACCGACGGGGACGTGGTCGAGGACGCGGAAGTAACCGCGGACGCGGACGTGGCCGCGGACACGGACGAGGAAATACTATATATATTAACATGTAAAATATATATAGCTGCTATATAACGTGCAGTTAACGTGAATGTTACATGTAAAGTACACATTAATAGTAATTTCTCATTTATATATGTAATTTTTGTATCATAACATATGTTACATTGTAGTTGTATTGTAATTACATCTCAGATATCATTGTAACTCATCGATAGATATAGTAGGATGCTGAAAATAATCTTTCGATAAGTTATTATGTTATCTGGAATATAATTATTGTAATATAACTATAATGTAACATATGTTATATTACAAAATGTTACTTTTATAAATGTGAAATTATAACTAATGTGTCCTTAACATGTAACATTCACGTCAGTTAAACATGTTATATAGCAGCTATATAAATAAATAAATGTAATCATGTTATAATAAATAATTATATTATATGATAAATAAAGATAATTGTATTAATAAATATATATATTAAAAACATAAATTCAATTTTTTAAATATTTATTTTGGTTGGTATTACAAAAACAATTTACAAAATACTGTTATATAACATGTGTAACTAACGTAAATGTTACATGTTACACACATTAGTTATAATTTTCAAGTTATAAAAGTAACATTTTGTAATATAACATATGTTACATTGTAGTTATATTATAATAATTATATTCCAGATAGCACAATAACTTATCAAAAGATTACTTTCAACATCCTACAATATCTATCGATGAGTTACAGTGCTATCTGGAATGTAATTACAATACAATTACAATGTAACATATGTTATAATACAAAAGTTTATGTATAAATGAGAAATTACAACTAATGTGTATTTTACATGTAACATTCACATTAATTACATGTTATATAGCAGCTATATAAATTTTACATAAATATATATATTGTTTTTTCTCGTCCGCGTCCGCGTCCCCGTCGGTTTCCTGTTATTGATCATCGGGTAGTTTTATATTTTACTGTAACAAAAATTTTATTGTGTGTAAATATGTATGTATATATTTCTATCTTTTTATATAATATAATTGTATATATAATTTTTTGTACTTACGGAAAGCATTCTCTTGTGGGGGGTTAACAATATTAGCCACCACTGCAGGCTTTGGTGTATATTGAAATTGATTCTAGTTTTTCGATCGTCTGGTGATATCTTTAATCCGCGATGCCGATTGGTTTCGTCAGCGTTTACTTCGTGAGCGGCTGTCATTGCATATTTTGACAGTTGTATGTATCGAGGGGTTAGTGTAGTGATAGTAATGTATATTAAAAGATTTGGTGTATCTAATAGTTATAAAATCTGATAAATAATTGTTTATTAATTTTGTGATTGAGTGATTTTGACTACAGTTTCTCAGTTAGAAAGGGAAATAGAAATTTATATCAAGGTATGTTTGAGAAATATACGTAATTTATGTATGTAGATTTTCTATAATCCCTATAAAAATTAAAGGCGTTACGCCTCTCAATATACTTGTAATATTTTAGAGTTTAATATTTTATTGTTTTAACCATTATTATTTGATTTAATTAATTTATTATGTATAATAACTGTCTTCTGTTCTTCACAATAATTCTTCAAGAAATCT